AAGGGTTGCCCTTGTACCTCTCACTTTCTGGGTGGATCTTAGTTGTGCAAAGCAGCTCCTGCCCCATCCCCCTACCTGACTCCTCTCCCCGCCCTCCTCTACGCCCCCTCCCTGTCCCTTGGAAAAAAAAAAATCAATTCTGAGTCACCAAACCGGCTGATTCCATTTCCGGTTCTCAATGCACCCAGACCCTGACAATGGCCCTATCCTTGCCCACCCAGCACGGGCAGTCCTGGTGGCCAGGGCTCCCGTGTAGGTCTGCTTCCGATGCCTATGACAGATGTGCCCCTTTCGAGGTGGAGGAGACCGCTGACAGTCTTATATAATCTCCGGATATGAGGGGTGGTGGGTTAGGCATGCGGGAGACAGGGGCAGCCCCCACTCTCAAGTGGGTGAAAATGCAGTGCTGGACAGAACTGAGCAGGGAGTCCGGCCTCAGAGGAGAACAAGTGTCATCAGAGGCCGCACGGAGCGGCCCTCCTCCACCGCCTCTTCTTACTTGCAAACTTCTTCAGGGGCGTGATGCCTGCTGTCACCCCAAAGGCCACGAGGCCAGGTGCTCCCTGGGGCCCAGGACACAAAGATCAGGAGAAGGGGGCTGCCAGCGCGATCACCAAAGGCACCCAGGGGCCTGGAGAAGGTGGGGTTCAGGGAAGAGAGCCAAGAGGTAGGGCAAGAGGCCCAGAAAGGACGGTGGGTTGGAGGCATGGATGGATGGGTGGATGGACATAAGGGAGGAAGGGAGGATGGATGGATGGATGGATGGATGGACGGACGGACGGACCGGTGAACGAATGCGGTGAAGGCAGGGGTCCAGTAGCATCCCAGGCGGCAGGCAGAAGCCGAAAAGGAGCAGGAGGCGTGGGGCAGAAGGCGAAGGAACAAGGGGGACGGGGAGGAGGGCACGGAAGTGGGGTGCGTGGGAAACACGTGGAGAGGACTGTTGCGGATGGGGAAAGCCCGAGGCAGGTGCAGGAGGGGCGGGAGCTGGGGGGCTGCAAGCAAGAAGAAAGAGAAAAGCAAGCACATGTGGGGACAGGTACTGGGCACCGGCAGAGGCAGAGGCGGGTGGGGTGGGCTGCGGGCGGAGACCCGGCGCTAGGACCCGGAGGCGCGAAGCAGGGGGAGCGGGCGGGCACTAGGACCCGGTGGGTCCTTTGTTTGGGGGGCCGGGGAGCCGGACGGCGGCTCCCGTCGGCAGCTCCCCTCAGCTGGCGGGGACCCGGAGGGGGGAGGGGAGACAGGGATGGGGTCCCCGGACTCTAGGGGAGCTTCACTCACCGTCGGCCGCGGGCAGGTCGGCCCGTTCCACCCACGAGCTCCAGCTCTGTCCCGCGAAGTCATCGAGACTCGGCACCCGCCGCTCCAGAGCGGCCATTGCTGCCGCCGCGCGTTCACGCACCGCCATCACCGCCGCGGACGCGCGCCCGCCCGGCGCCGCCGCCGCGCGGCCCCCTCCCCCGCCCCGCCGCGGGCACGCCTCCCCCTCCCACCTTTCGGCTCCCTCTCTGCACAGGCGCAGCGCGGGCCGCCTGCCCCTCGCCCTCACTCCCCCAGAGCCTTCTGGGAAATGTAGTCTTGCAGGAGGTGCTGCTGCCCACCGAGTTTGCATCGGGAGCTCCTCCGAAATGCACAGTGATGGGGGGAAACGAGACGAAAGCCCCAGGACCTCCCCCCCTAACCCTGGCGCACACGTTCCTCCTGCTGCCGGCCCACTCTCTCAAGTTCAGCGCACACGCGCCCCGGCCCGCCCCCCGAGCCGCGCGCCTCCGCCCGCGGGCTGGCGCCCCTGCTCGGGCTGGCGGCTGCGAAGCGACTTCGCTCCCCTGTAGATGGAACTGGGTAGGTGCAGGGAGGTGGGCGCTGTGAAGCAGAAGGGCAGGGGGAGGGAGTCTGCACGATGCGCTGAAGGACACAGGGGTTGGCGTGGGGGAGGGTCCTCGGCTCCCGCGTTGTGCCTCCCCGGTGGGAACCCCGCTGCCCTGGTGCGGAGCAGAGGGTTGGATGGCGTTGCCCGGGTTTGAGAGGACCTAGCCGAGCTGACCGAGATCACCTGTCAGGATGACAGAAGGCTGTCTCGGAGCCAGAGCCAGCCCCGGAACTGGGTCTGCAGCATCTCTGCTGATCGGCTCTCTCCTCCTGAGCACTGCGATCGATACCCTGGACTGCCTCTTCCCAAACCCCGGCTGGACCCTGACTCCATCCATCACTTTGGCTTCTTTTCCTAATGAATATTTTGTCTGCTGGAAGGGCTGCTACCGGAGCCTCAGCATAGGGAGATTTCCCATCAGATCTGTCGTTTTCCTTGCTGAGGCCTGGGAAAGACCTTAATGATCCACCTCTTCCTTTTTCTCAGCGGATAACATTTCTTCCCACCCTCACACAATCAAGACACAAAAGCCCGCCCTTCCCCATCACATCAGAAGAAAGATACTCATTCTCTTATTCCTCCTCAACCCCTCACATTTCACCCCATATTCATGCCTTCCGCTAAGGGGGAATCGAATCGGAGGCAAATAAATCCAGGTCTGTGACTCCAAGACCTCTCAGATTCCTTCTCACTTTCCCCTAAAGAATGATCTCTGAGGGCAGGGAATCCTAACCTGAGAACCAGAGGCGACCCCACCCCGAGGGTGTCCAGGATCCTGGTGACATTGAACGTAATCTTGTACCCAGGTGTATTGTTCTAGGGGATGTAAATGTAGCGAGCGGCTGTCAGAGGGGAGAGGTGCAAGTTGGTGTAGCAAGAACCTTTCTAGTGAAGAGGGCAAGCATATGGCCCCCTTGACTCCAGCAGGAAGCTTGTCTGAGTCACAGATGGTAGGAGAACAAATGAAAGCAGCATTGTGGAGGCCTCTCTCTCTCTCTCTCTCTCTCTCTCTCTCTCTCTCTCTCTCTCTCTCGTCTCACACACACACACACACACACCCCTTTTGAGCTTTCTCTAAATTTGCTAATGAGTCTTGGTTTCTTTGGACTAACTGATGCCACCCAAAGGAATGTCACCCGGAGCCGCTCTTCAGTTTGCAGATTCTACAGCTTGGGGTGCAGAGGGGAGAGGGGCAGAATGATGTGTTGGTGGAAATGCAGGTATTTGTCCAAAAACTTAAAGAGGGGGGGGGGGGGGGAGGGAAATAAAAATCCCCAGAAGGGCTCCAGTCTTGGCTCCTTCATGGCAAATGCTTGAAGCACTGTTTATTCCAATGTGTGATAACAAGCACCAGAAAACAACATGCAGCATTCTCCTCCCGCCCACGCCCTGTGATCCCGAGACAGGAGACCTGTGGCCACGGTGGCGGCGGGAACTCATGTTCAGGAAAGGTCCTGGGTGGGCAGTCTGGTGGGGTCAGAGTTCACTAGGGCAAAGGGCCTGCCTGTTAGCCTCCTGCAGCAGCTGGAGAAACCAGACACCTTCTTCTACCTCTGGCCCCACTGGGCAAAGCAGTGCTGCCAGCCCTGGTTGGAGGGGACATGAATCCCATGAGGACAGCCCTGTCCTTGGGCACTCGGCCTAGCCCTGCCTTTCCTCTTAGGGAGGGAGAGAGAGGCCATAACCTAAATCAAGGACTTCTGGCTGATAAGAAGCCGGGCTTTTGAGAGGAAAAGCCTGCTCTGCTCCAGGGGAAGTGCTGAGCCAGGGGTCCTTGGCAGGAGTGCGTGCCCACCCTTTCCCCACGGAAGGGCCATTTGCTAACTTCGGCCCCCAAAGGAGAACACTTTATCCATCACATTGTAAATAAATTATAAATACGTACACAGAATCCAAACAACGTTCCAGTAGAAGCTGCTCACAGACCCCCACAGGGGCCAGCTCGGAGAAAACGAGGGTCACCCCTTTGTTCTCTGTGTCTCTGGAGGCAAAACTGTCCCTCCTTGTCCTTGAGTAACCATGGGGACAGCTCAGGACAGAGAGAGGTTCAGACTTAGAAACACTCTCATCCTTGTAACCTCTCTTCTTTCCTCAAATCCCTTTCCCCAAACAAAACAGAATGGCCTAAGTCTTATTCCCAAGGGCTCTGCAGTATTTGAGGGTATAAATCTACCCCCACAAGTGGGGGGGGGACTCTGCCCCAGAGAAGAAATGATTGGCCCAAAGGCAAAGGCCCTGACTCCTGGGCACCCCAGTAATGCGCATACTCCTGTGAATGGCGTTCAGGGAGGTGAGGAGGTTGGAGGGGTTGACTCAGTCCTGAGCAGAGACTGGCACAGGCACGTTCGCCTTGGGGATGATAATGGGCTAATTGGCACTGGGATTGGAAAATGGCTGGATTCATCCTTCTTCATCCTTCTCTGGGCAACCTTATGGCCAGGGCAGACTGGGTAGGAGCCGGGTGGGGGACAGATGGCCCTGACCCTGTCGGCACTGTGTCTTAGGCTGGGGGTTCAGAGAGGGACTGAAGGCGGTATCAGGAAGAGGAGACAGACACACCAAAGACAAATCTGGAACTGGGTCCCGAAATGAAGAAGCACCAACAGCATCGGCCTGCCCTGGACGGGGTGGGGAGATAGGGCCTGAGAGGGATGAGGCAGGAGGGCAAAGGGAGAGGGCACGTCCATTTGTAAGGTGAGAAGGGGAAGTATGAAAGAGGGACCAAGAAGGAGAGGGGCGGGGCAGAGAATGCAGAAGAAATGGGCCCATCCATCCATGTCCTGGGGTCCGGGGCAACTTAGCCTCATGAACGGTCCTTTGGGCCTTTCCAAAGTCCTTGTCTGGCCCCACAGGAATGAAAGGAAGGCCTGGCCAGACTTGGAAAAGGATCTTGCATGCCTCAGACCCAAGGGGGAGGGAGACGAGCAGAGAGGTTGAGGAGAGGGCGGAGATGGATGGAGGGGCTCTTAGACCCCTCAGGTTGTGTCCCAAGTGTGAGACCAAGCCCAAGAGGGAGGTCAGGGAGGAAGGTAAGGAGTTGAGGGCCAATGTGAGCTTAGAGAGTTGGTGGAAAGAGCCCCAGCTTGGAGGGGCGGGAGGACTGCGGGAATAGAAGAAACTGACTCCCCAGCAAGTTTCCTGGCTTTAGTTTCTTGAATTTCAACGCAGTTGCAATGTATCTGCTCCCCGCTGAGTCTAAGGCGCCGGGACCGCTGAAGGCTGTTTGCCAGGCGGGGGGCCTCCCCGGCTCACACATGGCGGGCTCAGTGGGCAGCAGAGGCCAGAGGAGAGTGGGGAGCACGCTGAACTAGAGCGCTGTGGTGAGCAGCGCCGGCACGAGGCCTAGATGGCAGCCATCGAAGAGGGGTCTCTAAAGCACTGGTGGGCCCTCCACGCAAGGGACCAGGAAGAAGGCTGCGGCCAATGTCCCCTCCCCCCACTTTTATTGAAGCTGGACAGGTTGATAGAGGTGGCTGCTAGGAACCAGTCTCAGGACTCTGGTCTCCTGCCTCCAACCCTCACCTGTAGCAGAGGCTGTGAGGGTCCCTACGACCTAGGTGAGGTGCCTGGGTCCAAGCAGTAGACAAGAAGCTCCTGCCATGGGGGGTTCTGGCGGCGGAGGGACAGGAAGCCACCGGGAGGGCTGCCCAGGTTCCCGACAGCTGCTGCCTGCCCATCCATGGATGACTTCTCAGAGCCCAGAGTGGCAGGGGAGGGGAGTTGGAGGAGCAAGAAGAGGGAGGTCCTGGGAGCCGAGGTGGTTGAAGAGGTGCATCCTGTTCGGGAGTAGCCAGGTGGGGGCTGCTTACTGCTTCTCCACGGCTCCCTGCTCCGCTGTGCTCTCGGGGCTGGGGCCTTGGCCCTGGTCCTGGCCCTGCCCGTGCCACGGGGTCTCCTTGAACACGAACCAACAGTTCCCGGCCCACAGGAAGAAGTTGATAAAGCCAAAGAGCTGCAAAGACATCGGAGGAATTTATGAGAAGAGTGAGGGAGCATTGTGGGAACCCGGAGGGGAGGACCTGTGGAGGGGCAGATGGGGAGAGGTACAGAGGGCCACAAAAACGAACAGAAAACTAGATACTGAGATAGAGTTCAAGGCCATCACCCACTAAGGGGTTCTCTGGTGACAGTGTCTAACTCTGTGCACAGATGCCCCCAGCTGTGGCTGGGTCGCTAGGAGACTCTGGCCCCTGGAGTGGAGCGGCACACACGTGGGACCCAGTTCCCAGAGCCTTCTGCGGGTGGGTGTGGCCAGAGCTGTCCAAGGTGCTCCTTTCCTAGGGCCGAGGCCTGGCAGGGACCCAGCCAGGGCTATATTCCAATACTTATTCACAATATTTAAAAGCCTACCAGCAGGAAGCATTTAGGGGGAAGTGTACTGACGCCTGCAATTAACTTTGAAATGCATTAAAAATAAGACGGGTTGATAGATGGAGAGAGGCGGACAGATAGGTGATAAAGCGAGTCTCGTAAAATGTTCATGGTACAGGCTAGGATGAGTACGTGGGTGTTCATTGTGAAACTCTGTCGGCTCTGCTGTATGCGGGAGAATTTTTACAATAAAGTGTCAGGGCGGGATGAAACCTCTCAGCGGGGTTCCAGCAAGGTCTAGAAGGCTCCCTGGTGTGCCAGACACTAACTGGGCCTCCGGGGGGTACAGGCCCTTTTCGGGGGAGGGCTGAGGTGGCTGGGATGACAGGGGACAATGGAAAAGCTCGAGGCCTCAGCTATTTCCCAGCTGATATGAAAATATGTCAACGTTATAAAAACTGGGATGGCCCAAAATATGCGTGCCAGCTGGACCCACCACTGCCCAGAGCCCTTCTCCAGCCTGGAGGTCTGAGTCCTCACTCTGGGTCTGGTCTCTCTCTCTCTCTCTCTCTCTCTCTCCAGGAGGAATGGGGCATGCGAGCCTGGAGGTGGGGGGAGGGAGGGGAAATGGGAAGGCAGCAGCAGGAGGAAGGGACAGGAAGCTTAGTGCTCTCCGGGTCTCCCCATCCCCGATGTCTGTCTTCCCAGGGTCAGCGAGAAGCCAGCAGCCAGCATTAGGCGCAGGGGCCGCTGACTCCAGGGGTAGGGGACACCAGCTGTGGGGACACCCTCTGTTCTCAGAACTTGCTGCTAGGACAGCCCTGGGCAGTGGGATAGTCCTGCCTCCCCCAGACCCCCCGGTGGCCGCAGGTCTCACCACGGAGAGATTGACCAGCCCCATGGAGGGTGTGGCCCCGGCACTGCACACGGCCTCCTCTCCGTGGCACACGGACATGGCTACGGTCAGGCTCGAGGGCCGCGTGGCCCCCTTGACGTCGGTCAGGCCCTTGCCCCAGGCAGCTGCAGCCACCAGCCAGAAGAAGGTGAAGGAGACGGTCACACAGAAGTCCTGGAGGAGCAGCGGCACAGGAAATGCAGTCAGACCCTGGGACCCCCCACTTTTGTCCTCTTGCTCTAACGCACTGGGATCCCGGGGTCCCGGGACAGCTCCCCTTCCATCTGCCCAGAGCCTCAGGGAGCCCGGATGGTCTCCGAAACTCTTTCACTGTCACCAACCGAAGGCATCCCGCCACCGGGACACCCTGCCTGTGCCCTCAAACGGAGCTCAGGTAACAGGGTGTCGAGGCATATCTGCTGGTCAGTGTCACCCGAAACCCACATGCCTTCAACTCCCCTCTCTCACTTCCCCGCGTTTCCTTACAATTTTTTAAACATTTTTCCCTTCTTAAACTTATTTTCCAGTCACAGTTGGCATACAACATTGTATTAGCTTCAGGAGTACAATGAATGACTGGACAGCCTAGCTTTTCCATCCATCAACCTCTGCTCAGCGGCAGCTGGCGGCAGAGGGGGCACCCCTCCCCCCGCATGCCTGGGCTGGGGAGACGGTGAAGGGAGAATATGAATACTAGCTAACACTAAGCCAGGCTAACTATATACCAAGACGTTGTTTTGGAAGTTCTCATCTTTTAAAAAAATATATAAATTTTTATTGATTGAAGGGAACGGGAGAGAGAGAGAGAAAGATCAATGATGAGAGACAATCATTGATCGGCTGCCTCCCACACACCCCCTACCGGGGTCGGCGCCCCCCACCCGGGAATCATGCGCCCTGACCAGGAATGGAACTGTGACCTCCCGGTTCATAGGTCGGCACCCGTGCCGCTGGGCCAGAGCCCCCTTCCTGATGCTATGGTGCCTCCGGGAGGAGACCAAGCGATGATGGGAGGTTGGCGCAGGCAGAGCCCTGGGACTCGGGCCTCCACGGGTCTGTGGGGGGCACCTGAAGGGGCAAACAGCTGGCAGGTGCCGGGGTCCCAGGGCACGAGCTCGGGCCTCAGTCCCCACCCCAGCCCTCCTGGCCGGGCCTCTCACCGCCAGCGGGAAGCGCTTGTCCTCCGTGTAGAGGCGGTGGAAGCGCAGGTAGAACACGAGGGCGGCCATGGTGTAGAAGAAGGAGAAGATGCCCAGCGTCACGAAGAACTCGGCGGGGGCAGAGAAGTCCCCCAGGAGGTTCATGGTCTTGGAGGTGGACTCCTCGTCACAGAGCGGCATCTCATACTGGACCCGGTTCAACCTGCAGCGCGGGGGGGGGGGGGGGGGGGGGCTCCTGAGCGGGGCCATCCTGCCCCGGGGTCGTCTGTGCTCTCCCAGAGCCAGGAAGGGGGTGTGGAGGGAGGGATGCCACACCCCACACTCAGCCCCGCCGCCCAGATACGGTGACTCCGCTTCCAAGTGTCTCCAGGGCCCTTCAGGTCACGACCCCAGTATATATAGTCCATCTATTTCTGGGAGCCGAGCAGCCAGATCAGCTCGCTCTGCCCCAGGGAAGGCACAGGCCGTGGTGGCCACGTTGACACCCGACTCACCCACTCCCAGGCCTTCCTTGGGCCGCAGTGAGACAGACAAAGTGGAGAACACACATCCCAGTACATGCAAGAGGCCGTTCATCTAACGCGGCTGCTGCTCCTGGAAATGTCTGAAAAGGTGGCCCTGTCCCACTGTCCTCTGGACACCTGGGCTCCCCTGCCTCGAGGAAGGCTGTCCCTCCTCCCTCCTGGGGGCCGGGGCTCCTTGTAAGCACCCACACCTGCTTTTTGGGGTCTAAGTACTAACACGCTCCCTTCCCTTCAGGGCGGGGAGGAGGCTCTGAGGGGCACCGAGCCCCGCCCAGGCTCCTGTCACCTCCTCCAGGCTGCGTGGGTCCTTTCTGTGGCTGTCATTACCTGCCCTCGGTTATCCGTGGGCTGGGACAGGGTTACAACCCTGGCTGTCTGACTCCCCTCGTGTTTTTCTCTGGTCATTTGTCTGAAGTTCCTAAAGGGCAGGAAGGACCCGGTCTGGAGTGACACCCCACGATCTGGGAGAGGAAGAGGCCTCGCCGGTCAGGACCGGGGCTGTGCGGGGCCACCCTGGCGCCGCTCACCTGAAGGGATAGCCGAACAAGACGATGATGGAGCTCACGTCCTTGGCTTCGTTGTTGCAGCGAACCATGGCTCCTGTCTCCCCGCTGTAGGAGCCGCAGCACCCGAAGGCGAAAATAGCAAAGAGCTGGGGGAGAGGGAGCCCTTTGAGTCGGAGGCCTCCGCTGGCTGAGGTCTCGCCCTCCAAAACCACCCTCTGACCAAGCAGCGCAGGTATGGGGTGTGTGTGTGGGGGGGGGGGGCGTCCCTTTAATCCAGTCCCTCCTGGGGAGACCCGGGTCTTCCGCTGGTCTTCCAGCCTCCGGGGCTGTGTTCACCACACAGGGTGCTGGACCCAACAGCCAAATGCATAAGGCGCCTTCGAGTGGCGTCTGGGAGGGAAGCGAGAGGAAATGCATGGTTCCCCATCTCCCCATTGGATGTGACATCGGGGGACCGACCACCTTCTTTTTTTTTTTTTTAATATTTTTTATTGATTTTTTACAGAGAGGAAGGGAGAGAGATAGTCAGAAACATTGATGAGAGAGAAACATCGACCAGCTGCCTCCTGCACATCCCCCACCGGGGATGTGCCCGCAACCCAGGTACATGCCCTTGACCGGAATCGAACCTGGGACCTTTCAGTCTGCAGGCCGACGCTCTATCCACTGAGCCAAACCGGTTTCAGCCGACCACCTTCTTAAGGTGATGACGAGCACAGAGCGTTAGGCTTTCGGAAACTTCTGGCTCAAAGCTGGCCTTGAATTTCCTCCCCAAGGGAGAGGCGCCTGGAAATAGAGTCCCCTGCTCTAACTACGATGGGGCCCACTCGGAGTTCTTCCCATTCACCGAGTCCTTACCTTGTGGCTAACGTCCTGCCTCAGTGGAGGCAGAGCCGAAGCGGACAATCCCGCCTTGGCCTTCAGAGGGGCCAGGAGGGCAGGGCAGAGCTGCTGCCCCAGGTACGGCCAGCAGCAGAGCTAGCTGGGTGGTGCTGAGGGTCCTGGCTCCAGCCCAGAGAAAAGCAGCTTCCACTCGCCCTCCCAGCCTCCTGCCTCCCTGGTGGTGGTGTCTCCCGTTGTAACTGGTTGATGCTGCCATTGCTCAGGGTTAAGAACCGGACATGTTTCAGGCAATGTGAATTGTTTTCTTCTCACTTTACTGAACCTCTGAGCCTTAAGGGAAATGAAATGACGTCATCCCATGATTTCTTTTCTTTTTTTTTAAATTTCTTGATTTGAGAGAGAGAGAGAGAAACACCTATTTGTTGTGCCACTTACTTGTCCATTCATCGGTTGCTTCTTATATGGGCCCTGACCTGGAATTGAACTCACAACCTTGGCGTACAGGGATGACACTCTAACCAACTGAGCTACCCGGCCAGGGCCGTGGTTTTAGAGACTCTCCTTCTGGAGAAACAAACTTCGATTAGAAGAGGTGAGAAATTGGAACCTCATCCTCCCACGTCATCAGCTCAGCCCCATTTCCTTGGCATCTTTGTGACGTCATCATTCTAATTACACGGGGAGCGCATTCTGTTAATTGTCCGTTTTCTGTAAGTTTCTCTGTGACTCATGTCTTGGACATTAAGCACCTAGAAGACAGCTGATCTGCGTTGGAAATAGAGTTACGTGCGCGTGGTTTGGCTAATGCCCCGACGGCATGCGGCGAAGAGGCCTGGACCGGGGGTCTAGGACTCTGGCCCCGTCACAAATGAGCTGGGTGACCGCGCTTTGCTCTGAGTCTCACTGTCCTCACCTGTAAAGTGAGGGTTTGGAGGAGGTCATCTGGAGGCCTTTCCAACTCTGCAGTCCTCTCACTCGCTGAGGAAGGGCTGTCAGCCTGCCTGCTGTTGGCTGGCCTTGCCAGCAGCTGCGCCCGGCCCCAGGGCGGTGTCTCGTGCCAGGGCCCCGCCCTGCACCGCCTGGCCTGGCCCAGCCTCCCCATGATGGAGCCATTGATCCCCCTTTTAAATGTCATGATGGGCACCTCTCTCTTTCTAGGAGGTTTAGTTCAGACAAATAAGGCTTGTCTCCACTTAAAAACAACCAGCAGGGGAGGAGGCAGTACAACGTCTCTCTCCGATGCCTGAACGCCTCCTCCGCCGAATGAAACTTCCGAGGCTGCTACAGAGCCCGGCGCTCATCTTCCTGCCAGAGTCGCCCACGCCTCTGCGTCATCCCCTTCACATCCTCCCAGTTGCCGTGGTGTCCCAGCGGAACTCGTCTCGGAGGCATTCTCTAACCTTTGTCAGCTCTGTGGCTCTCTGATTCCTCTGAGCCATTTCTTTATTCCTCTTGGCTTCTGATGTCCAACTGGACACATTAGGGCGTCATGTTCTAGAAAGCGCAGCACAAATGGATATATTTTTATCCATTGGCTGTTCCATCAGCGAAGGGCCCCATATGGGTTCCCTGAGAATGGAGGTACAGTCTTCCTAACTTGGGGCAATGGAATGGGCAGTTATGAAACCGTCTCTTCACCAGCATTCTCTTGGCAGGCCCTCCTGGCATATTCAGAAAGGTGACGTTTATTGAGCATCTACTATGTACCAGGAATTGCTCTAGGCACTAATGCTTAGCAGTGAACAGACAGTAGCTGCTAGCCACGTATGCCTGTTTAAATGAAAATTAATTAAAATTAAATAAAATCTGAAACAGTTGCTCAGTCACACGAGCCACATTCCAAGTGCTCAGGAGCCACATGTGACCAGCAGGTGCCATACTGGACGGCACATTAGCCAACTCTTCCACTGTCACCGAAAGGTCTGCTATGTCGAGGTGACAACCTTGAGGTTCTAACAGTTCTGAACCCTGACTTATGATTCTTTGATGGACAAAATACACCCATAATAACTTTCATCTTAACTGTATTCTCTTCTATGCCGATTCTCTGACAGTCGGGAATCTAAACACCTTCTCTAACCCTTTATTAACCAGAATATATGATTAAGTCTGAACGTCGCAGTCAGCTGGTGCCAGGTGACAGACGCTTTGCTACAGAAGTGGAGGAAGGGAGAACTCTCAGGAGAATCGCACAGGTTCACAGAGCAGCTGAGCAAAAAGGATCTCGGGGATTATCGAGCGCCACGGTCTCATTTCATAGAGGTGGAAACTGAAGTCCCGGAAGATTAAGTGACTTGCCCAAGGTCACATTTAGCCGCTGCGAAAGCCAGGCTTAGAACTTGCATATCCCGATTCCCTGTCCAGTGCTCTTGCTACTGCGCTCATTCATTTATCGACAAGTAGTCGCGGAGCATCTGCTTTGTACCAGGTGCCGGGCACATAAAGATAACTAAGACTGCCTTCCCACAAGACTTTACACCAGAAAGGGGAGTGTCATGCTCAAACACACAGACAAAACCCCTGCGTCGCGGGGTGACTGAGGCTGAAGAAAGAGGTCTCTGCTACGTGCAGGGAGGATGGCATGGAGCAGAGAGACGCCCTCCTCCTCTCTGCACCTCCGTAGCTTTCTTCCCCAACTGTGCCAGGTGACCGAGCCACAGGGGTGGCAGGAAAGGACCGAAACCACCCCTGTCCCCAAGCACCAGGCTCTGAGTTGAGCCGACTGGTCATAAAGACCAGGAACCGAGGAGAGATGGCGTTCCCGAGGGGTGGGGGGTGGGTCTCTGGAGTTCTGGTGCCAACCATACATACTGGTACACTGCCCGCCCCCTCCCCTCCTCCTGCCGCTGCCTGTCCTTGGAGCGAGGGCGGAGGAAGCTTGCCAGTTTAAAGATGAAGCTCCTGGGCCAGTCCTGCGAACACGGACATGCCCGGTCAGTGTTAGTGCGCTAACAGGGACGACAAGCTCTCCCCCAAGTCCTACTTGCACCATCATCTCCTTGGAGTCACGGAGTCTGATGAGTTGCTTTCACATCCCCCACATTTACTGAAATCAGAGACCCCAGAGCCAAGTAAGGGACTTTGGCACCTCAAAGGTGAATTACAGACCCGGGGCACACCCAATTGACAATAATGTGACTTCTTACGGCAGCAGTGACTCAGTAATGCAGGAAATCCTTTTGTACCTTACCCTCAAAGTGAGGATTTGGCAGCGACATTTGAACAATCTCACCAAAGGACAAGTCTAGCTGACAGTCTGCTTAAGGGGGGAAGTTAGGGGACAAGGGAGGTTGGGAATAGGAGGGAAGGGAGCACCCCTTAGACCGCCAGGCTCACGGGATCTTCCTGAATGCTCGATGCGTTACAGATACCACCTCCTGCAGCCCTCCCGTCAGCCCACAGGAGACCTCGCCCGCCTTGACAGACAGGAAACCGAGGCCCGTAAGGTTTCATCACTTACCCTAGAAAGCAGAAGAGGCTGGATTTAAACCAAAGCCCATACAACCTCAAAGCCTGCTTTATTTTTGCCTTTTTCTTTAACAAAACAAAACAAAAAAACAAGTTCTCCAACAATTGGTCTATGCCCATATTATTTCACTAGTTTAGTATAGACTTAGTGAGGCCAGAATTGGAATTCAGGTGAGATTAGTTAATTTTTGAATTTTCAAGACACACTAAGCCAAGTTCCTCACTAATAATAATAAAAAAAATAGCATTACTTTCTTCTCAGCAGGACTACAGTAAAACCTTTGCTTTTGGTAATAATGACAACAAATGTTTTCAATTATCAAGGTTTGTGGCGTTTTTTTCTTTCCTTTTCTAGTCAGGAGCATTTGATCCCTCCAAGCAGGAAACGAGTGAAAAATCCCAAATGACATTTTCACTGTCATTTCTGGTGCTGGCTCCTACGTTAGCTCATCTGCAGAGGCTCAAGGCAATGAAACCCGTGCTCTGACGGCAGTAAGAGCGACTCAAGTCTCCTTAAGACGTTGCTGGCCCAATGAAGGCCGAGTTCAAAGTCCAGCCTTGGGCCCCTGTTGTTAGCATTATGGCAGAAAGGTGTATCCCCCTCTCTAAGAGATTGGGGGGCATCGAAGGGTCATCAAGGTGGGTCCGCTCTTAGGGATCAGTGTTGAACCTGGGAGGTGACGGGGCCATCCATCCCCCTAGGCATTGCTTTGTGCAGCCTTTATAGGAATGTTTCGGGCAAGGGGCGGGGAAAGGGTGGAGACAAGAAGAGAGGGTTGAAGAAGGGGGCTTTGCACAAACCCCCCTTGGAAGATGATTCCATGGTCTAATGACCTCATTGTCCCCCGCCCCCCCCCCCCCCCCGCCCCGTCCCTTGACAGTCTTTCTCAAATCTCCTTAGACCCATTTGTCTAGTTTAATGATAAAGTTGTCCTCTTACATTTCAGGCTGTGCTCTTCCGGGTCACTCAGAATGGCCCCTAGCTCTGGATGGCAGTCACTTAGAGCCCTACTATCATGCTTATATGGCCCCCTCCCGTACGCACGTAGGGGGGTCAGAACAGGAAGGGAGGAGGTGAAAGAGCCCAGTCAGCAGTCTGTCCAACTGCTCCTGCGGCAGCAAGGAGAGTGGAAAGTCCCCACCGGGGCCGAGAGTTTGCACTTGGAAGCTCCCCAGGCTGGCCCGGAGCCCCAGTCAGGGTCTCGGATATCCACAGATAACCCCAAATGCACTAGTGCCCCTGAATTCCAGATTTGATGATTCTTGTCCAAACGACACGTTAGGAATCGGTGACACGGTGCTAACTCCTGTCTCCAGTGAGTTAAAAGCCCTTTAGAACTCAATCCTCGTCCGTATTAACGGTAACTTACTCCCTCGCTGACTTCTGTGCTGAAAGCACATCAATACGTTATTCACACACCATTTGGTGTGTGGATAGTCCAACTAAAATCCCTCTGTGACAGTACACTAAATGCTCCCAACAAGTCTTCTTGATTCGAGCGAGTGACTGCACCTGTCCACATTCCTTACTTATACCCAGCAGGCCCTGGGCACCGGGAAGGACAGAGAGCACAACAGTGTCTCAAAGGACCAGTGAAGCAAGGAGATTGTATTTGCCCTGGGACATTATAGGGGAAACTGAGGCCCTGGGCAGGTGAATTCTTCAAGGTCACAGGTAAGTCTAATGAAGGGCAATATTCCAGCACGCCAACCCATCGAGAGCAGAAGGGGGCTTTAGGGTTGTTCTGATCAACATTGGACTAATGTTGGAAACCGAAGTCCAAAGAAGTGACTTGCCCAAGGTCACATGGCTGAAAAGGCAGGTCCGGATCTGGAAACCAGAGCCCCAGCTTCCCAGCATAATGGTCTATATTACTCTACAAGCCACATTTTAGCCACACCGAGGCTTTTATTCTATCTTTTTTTTATTTTATTTAATACTGGAGTCATAAACTTCATTCATTCATTCATTCACTCCCTCTCTCAGTTACAGGAACCCAGATTACTCTAGTGATCTCAACGGGGCACCTGCCAGCCGGGACCCTGTGCCCTGAGTGCACCTGCAGGCCCAGCCAGGTCCTGGTGGGTTTGGGTGCAGATGGTTTCCATTCTCTGCCTCCCTCCCTCCTCTGCCCTCCGTGGTGTTCCTCATCTCATCCCCCTTGCCCTCCTCCCCCGCCCGCCATGGAGGAGTGGTATGTGCAGGATCAGAGTTCTGGAAAGGTTACACTCGGGTCCTCTTGCCCCGGTGAAATGTGAGCGCCCCGGGCACAGGCTCCTTGCACATAGAAGGACCGAATCCCAGCCTCCGCCTGCCTCGCTTCTCACCCTCCTGCCGCCGAGTGCGGGAGAAGCCACCCCAGCCCGCCCCTCCCCCGCCCACCTGTCGCTGCCCCCACCCTCCGCAGGCTGCTGGCCGCCGGACCTCCCTGCAGCCCCACTCCGGCCACATTGCTTCGGGTCAGCGTCACAGCCCAGGCGCCCGAAATAGCCCGCGGCTTGGGCAGCCACTCACCCACTGGAGAACTTTGATGAAGCCCAGCGGCTCCTCCAGCCGCCGCCAGTGCAGCCCCGCGAACAGCTGGTCCACCTGCGAAGACAGGGAGGTCCAGGGCTCAGGGCAGGGGGGACCCCGGGAAAGCGCTGGTCCCCCTTCTCCTACCCACGCCCAGGAGAGGGGGCGGAATAAGGGTCCCCACACACCGGTGGAGGGGGGCGGTGAGCGCCCCGGGGGCACGCGGAGTACCTGCTGGCGCGGCGACTTGTCCGCCGGGCGACTCGCCGCGGTCTCGGTCGAGGACATGCTGGCGCCGCGGGGCCCGGGCGCTGCGCGGGGGCTCGGCTCCCTCGCCCGGAGGCTGCGGGGTCCGGGGTCGGGCGGGGGGCTGCGGACCAGCGGGGGACGCGAGCGGTGGCGGAGCGCGAGCAGCCCGCTGTGGCCCGGGATCCAGGCTGGCGGGCTGGGTCGCTGGCGCTCGCGGAGGTCGCGGCCGCTGCGCTGCCCCTCCGGCCGCAGAAAGCCCCCGAGGCCGATTCAAACTTCTGTCAAACTCGCCAGCGAACTTGGCCGCCCAGTCACGTGGCGCGCTAGGGAACCCTCCTCCCGCCCCCTGCGCCCCTTTTGCAGCCCGCAGGGCTCCTTAAAGGGACCTGTGGCTTCTACAGGCAGTTTGGCCGAAAGGGGCTCGAGGTCTTTACCAGAAGCTCAGCGCCAGACGCGAGGGAGACACCGCGGCCCCTCCGACCCACCACCCAAGTCGGAAACTAGTTGGGCGCCCTGGGGCGCACGGGTTCCTAGCTCATCTTTCTCTGTTTCCCTGGATTTGGAGCCATTTTTTTCTTCTTCTTCTACATCACCATACCCAGAACCTAAAGGATTTTCATAAGGCATTATCAAAGCTGCAATCTAAACCTAAGGTTCTGAGCCTTACGCTTAACAAATCGCTCGCCTCCAAAATCTTGGAGAGCCAGTGCAGACGAAAAGGGCAAAAGGATACAATTGCTCATTTTTCATCGTCTAGTTAGACGTTGCTTTAATTTTTTAAAACAACAAAATGCACTTGTATGCCATGATTTAAAAGTTATTAATCTTTTAGAAGTATAAACTCAATCTCCTTTAAAATAGCCAGCACGATTTACGTGAGAGTGAAAATCAAGTCTGAGGACTAGGGGGCCCAGAGAATGTCATTGGTGCTGAAAAGTTGGCATTGTTGCATTATGACCGACCTTAAGTCGGTCCCGAACTTTCAGAAAGTGTTCGGCGGAAGCCCAGGAATTTTACACACGCCGGTTACCAGATTGTAAATGTAAGTAGTGAAAGGTTAAGTGGTCTGTCCACTTGGGGGGGCTGCTGAGTGAGCCCGTGGGTGGTGCCAGCCCCCATGACCCACCTCCTCACAGTCATTCTTGAGGTTCCCTCTGGTACCACAGAATGACTGCTTTTTGAACATTTAGCTGCTCATCAATTCAGCCCCCGATGAGGCTTAAGGCTGGGGTAGGAGGGAGTGGCTGGAATTAGGTCTCCTGGACTTGAAGAAAACTTCGTCGGATTGCCAGACACATCTAGGCTACATAAGGAACAACTGAGTCCTCCAGTTTTATTTTTATTTTTAATTTTTATTGGAGAGAGAGAGAGAGAGAGAGAGAGAGAGAGAGAGAGAGAGAGAGAAGCATCAGTGATGAGAATCATTGATTGGCTGATTGGCTGCCTCCTGCGGGCTCCCCACAGGGGATTGAGCTTGCAACCCTGGCATGTGCCCTTGAGCAGGAATCAAACCATGATCTCCTGGTTCATAGGTCGACACTCAACCACCAGCCAGGCCCAACCCAGTTTTTAATAAATTGTTCCACAGTTTTAGGTTCCTTTTCCGTGGAATAGGGATAATCATTTCTGTCCTACTTACTTGTATAGGGTCATCATGAGGATTAAGTGGTGATGTGCGTAAATGCCCACACTACACAAATATGAAATGGTACTTACTCCCAGTGTCTACGACAATATGCAGATAGAATATAACACAAGGAGAAAAGAATCAGAATAGACAGCAAAAATCCACACACCCACTAATGAGCCTTGTTAACTTTGCCTTGTCTCAAATCCATTCTTCCTAAATGAAACACAAATTGCATATAAAATTAAAGCCCTTCATATCATTCTTTCCTTCTCTCCTTCCTCCCCAGAAGTAACCACTGTCCTCTCTTGAATTTTTTATTAGCCACATGCATATTTTGATACTTTTACTATATGTAAAATAATTAAAAGTATTTTACTATAGTTACTATATGTAACTATATCTAGAAACAACACATAGAAATTCACCATTTTCTTAATTGTTTTGAACTTTGCCTAAATTTTATGCTTTAGGTAACCCTCTTTAATGTGCAAGAATCAAGGCTAGTTAAACCTCCCAATATCCTTACTAAAAATCTTTGCTTATTTAAAAGCATTCTTACAAAAGGTAAAATAAAAATCACGTACAAGGCAAGTCAGCCAAATCTGAAGTCTTTTTTTTTTTTTAATATATTTTATTGATTTTTTACAGAGAAGAAGGGAGAGGGACAGAAAGTCAGAAACATCGATGAGAGAGATCGATCAGCTGCCTTCTGCACGCCCCCCAGTGGGGACGTGCCCGCAACCACGGTACATGCCCTTGACCGGAATCGAACCCGGGACCCTTGAGTCCGCAGGCCGACGCTCTATCCACTGAGCCAAACCGGTTCGGCTGAAGTCTTTTTATGTAAATAACAAATTGTAGGTGCTAGAGATAAATGTGGATAGTTGGATTTGGGGGACACAACATTTAGGAAGAGTAAAGGCACCTAGGTTAGATTGATTTAATTTGTAAAATTCTCCATATATTTCCTGCCATCTGATACAAGGAGACCAACAATGACTTTTGCTAACAAATCTGAGTGTTTCCAATATTTTTTGGGCTATTAACTTTACCAAACTATTTCACTTACTTCCAGTGGAATTGCAAGGCTTCTAATCTATACATAGAAAAGTATCACATTTTATTGTAACATAGTTTAGAATTCTGTGATTCATCTCTAAAATTACTATGGCAGCTTTTAATTAGGGGATAATTTTACTTTTTTTTTTTTTTTTTGCCAAAAAAGTACCAAAACATGTGAGAGCTCTCATTCTGTGGGTGAATACAGAACTTTTATTACTGTCCAAAAAATCTGCATTTTTTAAAAGAGGAAACAGTCCTTCTTACCTCTCAGTATTTCACCTAAAGAGATTGTAACCAAGAAAATTCTATTTTACAAAGACAAAAAACAAAACCACAAAGGAAATAAAAGAAAAAGAGAAATACTGGTTTTAAAGTATATTTCAAGCAAGTCTCAATTAGAAATACTGAATTTTCTAATGACACATCTATTAATCTCTATGTGGCTAGTATGTTTATAGCAATCAATACTTATTCACTCAACAAATATTCCTAAAACATCTATATACCAGCTGTTAGGATGAATAAGACATAGCCCTGGTCCTCAAAGAGCTCACATGTTAATCAATTTTACTTTAAAATATTTATTTCTTTTTATTGTAGTAAAATGCACATAACATAAAATTTACCATGTTAATCATTTTTAGGTGTCCAGTTCAGTAGGATTAAGTACATTAACACTGTTGTGCAACCACCACCACACTCCATCTCCAGAACTTTGTCATCATCCCCATACTGAGATTGTGTACCCATTAATTCTCCCATCCCTTCTTCCCTTGCCCCAGGTAACCACCATTCTCCTTTCTGTCTCTATAAATCTGACTAGTTTAGGTAATTCATATAAGTATAACCATATAATAGTTGTCTGGCTTATTTGACTTAGCATAATGTCTTTAAGCTTCATCCAAGTTGTAGCATGTATCAGAACTTCATTCCTTTTTAAGGCTGAGCAAGCATAGTGAACTGAACTACATAACATTTTCCCTTGTATGTACATACCATATTTTTCTTTATCCTCAATTACTTTACTTTTTTAAACAGCTCGTCTTTCATTTAATTTCTTTCAAAGAGATACCATAAGGTTTTCAAGATTTAAAAAATATATTTTATTGATTTCAGAGAGGAAGGGAGATGGGGAGAGAGATAGAAACATTAATGATGAGAGAGAATCATTGATCTGCTGCCTCCTGCAGGCCCTCTACTGAGGATTGAGCAGAAACCCAGGCAGGTGCCCTGACTGGGAATCCAACCGTGACCTCCTGGCTCATCGGTCGACACTCAACCACTGAGCCACGCCAGCAGGGCCTTACTGGTTTCTCTATTTGGGTAGTGTCTCCAGTCCACCCTGGCTACTCTGCCACAATTTATTTTGCTCCAGGACTTACGTGCTTAGCTCTCCAGGATGTTTGTATTCCTTTCTCAGTTTCTGAATCTAGCTGACTCTAATATTTTACTACATTCCTTTCCTTTCTGTCTTCTATGGCTCCTATATTATTATTTTTTTTTCAGAGGGACACCTGGTCCAACTCTATTTTTTTTAAAAAATGAGATCTATTCTCCTTTCTAAAAATGTTATCCTATTTACTAAAAGGGTAATATGCAAATTGACCCTAACGGCCAGGAATGACCGGTTGCTATGATGCACAATGACCACCAGGGGGCAGATGCTCAATGTAGGAGCTGCCCCCTGATGGTTAGTGCGCTCCCACAGGGGGAGCTCTGCTCAGCCACAAGCCGGTCTCACGGCTGCTAGCACAGTGCTGGTGGCGGGAGCCTCTCCCACCTCCTCGGCAGCGCTAAGGCCATCCGACTGACGGCTTAGGCCCGCTTCCCCCAGACAGTGGGCCTAAGCTGGCAGGTGGACATCCCCCAAGGGGTCCTGGACTGCAAGAGGGCACAGGCCAGGTTGAGGAACCTCCAAGTGCATGAATTTTTGTGCACCGGGCCTCTAGTTTATTTATATTTTTAATCTTCATGGGAGGATATTTTTCCTATTGATTTCTAGAAAGAATGGAAGGGAGGGAGAAGAGAGAGAGGAGAGAGGAGAGACATCAATTGGTTGCCTCCCTACCAGGGATGGGGAATCTGCAACAGAGGTATGTACCCTTTACCAGGAATCTAACCTGTGACCCTTTGGTCTGTGGGTGATGCTCTAATCACTGAGTCAAAATGGCCAGGGCTGGTCCAACTCTTATGAAGCAATTATTTATTGAACTGAATATGGACAAGAAACTAAACTAGGTGCTGGTTTTTTATGCCATAAAGTTCCACTTTTTTGGTAGAAAACAAGATATCTCTTCTTACCCACTATCAACTACCTGTAGCTCCCTTTTATTTATAATATATGGACACAAACATTTACCCAGAAAGGATTCCACATTCATTTAATTTTGTGAGTCATTTATGATACATTTACTACCATATCCGATATTATATAGAGCACCTTGCATCTCTGGGTGTTCAGGAAATACTATGCTTGAGTACCTATATAGATAGTTACTATAGATTAATTTCCAAAGAACTTCTAAAGAGCAAGCATAGTAAACTGAACTAACATTTTTCAATAAGCCACATTAGTTAACCAGAAG